GTATCACGTTTTAACGTGATAGCGCTCGGAATTTTTTTTCCCTGCCTGATAGCAATACGCTTCCGTAAGGTTCTCTGTGTTTCCTGTTGTTGCAATAAAACTCAGCTGATCATCTCACAAAGTACCTTCATTCTTGGACCACATATTTCTGTCTTTGTTAGACAAATATTACCATAACAACTTCTTAAGGCACCCTTGGGGTAGGAATCTCGGCCTCGGGTTGGAACCACCGGCAGGCGTGCCAGGTCCCTGGCTGTGAAATCTTCCCTAGTTAGCTGCAGGGATCAGACTTTCAGCCAAAGCTGAGGTTTCTCTGGAGAAAATCCCAGCTGTCTTCCTAGGTTGGAATCAGGAAGAAGAGTGTGTTGCTCAAAGCCGTCCAGGTTAGTAAAAGAAACAGACGATCTTTGGTTCCGCCCTCAGGCTTAGAGATGAGTCAGAGCAGAAAGATAAAGCTTTGCCAGCCGGCGCCAGCCCAAGGTTAAAATTCTGTGGTTGTTCAACAACACGATATGATAACCTCTTTTCAGCTTTCTTCTGAAAGACTCTAAGAGAAATCACTCCAAAACATTTATGATGATTAATTAACATTTCTGTTTTATAATCCGTTCTGAACCATTCTGTTAGTCCAGATAAATGAAAGATTTTCTCAGGAAAAATCCACAATTACTGTGTTCACAGTAAAATAAAAACAACGATTTACATAAAAACACAATGAAAACATTGTAATCAGATTCTCTGTGATTTTTTACACCATTTTAAATCTTTAAGGCACGATGAAAGAAAAGAAGTCGTTCCACTTTTCCTGTGACAGMCATTATCATGATTTAACAAATGCATAAACATTCTTAGTTAAACACACATGTATCACAAAAAGAAGAAATTGTTCTGTCCATTATCTGATTAAGAGAACTGAGGGGTTCTCTTCCACGGTTAGAATGACCTGTCATGGCCTAAATAGAGTTCAGTTTGTGACAGAGTTCCTGTCCTCTTGTCAGGCCTTTCTGAGGCCTGCTTAGAAGCAGAAAATCGTGTTTCTTCACTCGAAGTGACCCCTACACTTTGTTGACGACAGTCTGGAAACTGTTCGTTGTGATTCGATCCTGAGGCAAAAGCCCACGTTGTGTTGTTTGAATAAGCTTTTGTGAAAGAGCAAAAAGCGATAGACTGCAGATCTCATATGTGAGTTTGCAAACTCCACGGGTGCTGTAACTGTTGACCTTTTTAACACTGGTTCTGCCGAACCGAACTGGTGCGCACGTGTGCGTGCGTGTGACGTCGACTGGAGTTTTATGAAAGTAACAACTTTCTCTGCAGTGATTCGAARGTGACCGGCTCTGCAGTGTTCTGTTGAATTTTGCATCCCTGGCAGATTGAGTCTCCCGTTCACGCATGTGCGCTGCCGCGCCAAAGTTTGAACTGGCTACAAGCTTAGGAAAATGTTCTGCTGATGAGAAAAGTTAAGAAACTTTGCAGACGCTGAAACGCCTTGTTGAACGGTTGCTGTGCTGTTGTAAGTGTAAACGTCGTTTTTCACTTCTGTTGCCCCTCGTAACTAGAAAGTTATAGAGTGGTCGCCATCTTGTGACTGCAGGCCCCTTTATAGATAACGGACCTCCCCCTAAGGCGGGACTTCCGACTCTAGACCCCCCTTTGTTGTCTGCCATTAAACGAAGTGCTCAGTACCATCTACTGGTCATGTGAAGTTCCTACAACCAAGAACTTCTGATTCACAAAAACTTTGACAGTTTCAAAACTTAATCAAAACCTTAAAACCAGGCTAGATCAAGGCTTTTCTTCTTTGATCATAGCTTTTAAATCACTATCAGTATTTAATGCTACTTTGTAAATAATTACTTGTTTTCTAAAACAGTTCAACTTGATTTTAGCTTAAAACTCCAAATTAACTTTTCAAAGTCAATCTTGGTGATTTTAAAGCTTATGTACATTTTCTGTCTCTTTCTTTTTCAAAGGTTTTGTAAATATAAACTAACTTAATGTGCTTTCAATTTGATTAAATAGTTTTGACTATTTTATGC